CACACGTTTTTCAGGCCTACAGGTGTGAAACTCCTCCCCCTACGTCCTCCACCAATGAAATCCACCCCTGGGCGACCGCCTCCTCCAGCTGTCACGTCGACTTCCTCGTCCACTCTGTTGACTCCGCCCACATCCAAATCTGTCCCCGCCCCCTCGGTCTCGACAGCCAGCCAGTCTTCTTCTTCTTCTCAAACCATGTCCAGCCCTTCTTCTGTGTCAGCCAATCAGATTCAGTCAAAGTCGGTTTCAAAGAAAGGACCACCCCTTCCACCCCGCCCTAAACCTGGACACCCCCTCTATAACAGCAACACTGTAAGGACACACACACACACACACACACACACACACACACACACACACACACACTCTGTAAAGGCTGCAGTAGATTTGAGTTCTCAGGTTGAACTTTCTCAGAAACAGGAAGTCCTGATCGTCCTGGATGACCCGAGTCCTTCAGAGCCTCCACCGGGGGAAGGGAGGAGCCAAACTGCAGTCACCCCGCTCATCAACCAATCACAGTGTCTCCTGGATCTGGACGACCAACCAGAGCTGGCTCCAAAACAGGAGAGCCAATCGAAACCAGCGCTGGCGGACCTCAGCATGTTGGACTCGGAGGTAACAATCTACCTCTCCAGATTCTCAAATGTCCCCGTGTGAAATCTTTATCGTAAAGAGTGTAACTGAAATGTTTTGGTTGCTGTTCCTCCGTCTAGTCGATCCTCCCTGTGGCGCCCACAGAGCAGAAAGAACAGCCGGACGCTCCTCCTGTCAGGTCAGACGCCGCACATCATGAAAACCAAAACAGCAACCACCGCTCTTAAAAAACGTCTCGATTCTGAAGAATGTGTTTTGATATTTCAGCGGCCCTCGCTGCGTCGCCTTGTTCGACTACGAGGGAGAGGAGGACGACGAGCTCACCTTCTCCCAGGGTGATGTCATCGCCCTCCTGGAGCTCATTGGGCAGGAGTGGGGGCGTGGTCAAATCCACGGACGAATCGGGATTTTTCCGCTGAGTTTTACTGAAGTGGTGGAGCCGCCGCCGCCGCAGGAAGAGGGAACGACAAAATCAACATCAGCAGAGAAAACGGGTGAGCAGACACGTCCTGGACGTAGCACAGAGAATCACTCCCATGATTCCCTGACAGTCTCGAAATCCTCTTTTTGTTATTGTTTTGATTGAGAGTCCCCTGGTGGAGGAATTTACAAACTGTGCAATTAATTATTACCAAAAAAAATGAGTAAACTACAAAAGTTTGTCAATTTTTATTTAAAAAAAAAAATATATATATATCTTTACCTTTTGACCAAACACAAACATCTAACACTTCTGTCATCTTGTTAAAATCATCCAATGAAGTAAAGACGGTGATTTAATACATTTTAAAGGATATTTTTGTGATTCTGTATTGTTGGGATCTGAGTTTAATGTGAGTTTTTTTTTTTTGCAGAATCAAGGATCTCCCAGCAGCCAGAGTGGGCTGTGGCTCTATTCGACTTCCCCGGTCAGACTGCAGAGGATCTGTCCTTCCACAAGGGGGCGCTTATCGAGGTTACAGAGCACGTCGACGCTGAGTGGAAGAGAGGACGAGTGGAGGGGAGGGAGGGGCTTTACCCTGCTGCTTTCACACACACCTGCCCGGGTAACACACACACACACACACACACACACCTGCCCGGGTAACACAGGTTCATTCACTGCTGGACTTCTCTGTCTTTCTGTTGTTGTGTTTTTTTTGTTATCTTGAAGCAGAACTCACTTTTTAAACTTTAATTTTTACAGATCGATCGAGAACTAAAAATATCTTTGAAAGTGGAAATAAAAAGGAAGACTTGAAACCGTATCCTGCCAGAGCTCTGCTGCTTCGTCTTTAACCACAGCTCTTATTTCTTCTTTCCAGCTCAGCCAATCACAGACCAGCAGCCAGCGCTGAGGGGCGTGGCCAAGTTTGACTTCACAGCGGAGAGCGAGGACGAGCTCACACTGAAGGTGTGTGTGAACGCAAAACATTTCAAGAATATTTGAGTGAAATATAAATATCATGAGCTGAAATTCTCCGTCCTCCTCCTGCAGGTTGGTGACATCATCACGCAGGTGGAGTTGGTGGATGAGCAGTGGATTCTGGGAGTTGCAGGCGGGAAGCGTGGGATTGTGCCTAAAAACTACATTTCACTTCTCTGATGAGGAAATCCAAGTAAAAACAACTTTTGTTTGTGTTTTTTATGGAGTTTTGCTGCCGCTCTCCGCACGCTGGTCGGTTTCATCTGAACTGGAAACGTTTGCACACCTGTCTCATCGTGGCGGGGAGTTTTTTTTATGCGAGTGCTGTGAACACCTGGATATCACACCTCGCCTGTTCCATCGTTCCACACCTTTAAACGGATGTTTTTAAAGACAGTAAAAGCAGCTCGGTCTGAATTATTTTCCTCAAGTTTGGTGACTTAAATTGGAGGAACAACTCTCTGCGTATTATCACCATGGCGACCAAAAGTGGGAGGGACCTCTGTTCCTTAACGACTGAGAAAAACTGAAGCAAAGAAGCCATCGATTTTCATCTTCCTGTCTTTTCGTTGTCGTGGATCTTTTTCCTCCGTGCTCAGGGGGACGTTTTTGGACTTAGATCTGATCGACCAATGAACCGTCTCCAAATGTTTGAACCCTGAAGCTCCTGCAGCTCTGCACCGCTGTGAGCTGTTCTTAGAGATTTAGAGACAATGAGAATGACAGGAAGGGAGCACATTCAGGTGTGCAGAGATTTTCTTCAACGTGGTTCTTAAAAATTCAAATATCCCGATTAAGATCTGAGAGAGAGAGGACTCAGACTCGTCTCTTCTTCATGTCTGAGTCCTGACTTGTGCTCAACATGGACTGTTTTTAAAGTGTAATAATGTGTCTTTGAACTGGAATAAGAAATCAATCCGCTTAAATGAGGCTTAAAATCTTTTAAGGCAGCAAACATGAGGAGCATATTTCTCCTCCTGAACCAGAGGAAATAAGTACAGCTGAGTGTCCGAGTAAAAATGCTTTCGATAGCGAGACCTTCAAATATCGGTCTCGAGAACTCAAGACTGATTTCGAGTACTTCAACACTAAGAAGACAGCATGCAAACCTGCATCGTATTTTTTGACTCATCGATTCGAATCGTCCGTTATTAGTTTCAGTTTTAAAGTATTGCGAGGTTTTGAAACATAACTTCTAAAGACGCTCGTTTGCTCCTCTGGTATCCCTCCTTAAAATCTACAAAACATCATAGGACGTTATTCTCTAAATCTGTTGAAATGTTTTCTTAAATGTGGCCGTGATACTCTGACGTAGACTAGATCATAAAACAGGCATCATGAGTCGCGACTTCAGCTGTTTGACATACAGAATTTTTTTTAACTTGTAGCGTCACTTTAGAGCGGGAGAGAAGACGATAGGACATCGTCAGTGTCACAGTTGTGCTTTATTTAAGGTTTATTGTTGGTGCTTTTTATGCCTTTCTTTCCTTGTTGCATGTTTTTCACTGAGAAACTCGTTAAAAAAAAAGGCTTTTATTTAATTTCCCACATTCCCTAAACTGGACCTTTTTTCATGAATAACACTAACTCACAGTTTCCACATACTTCACACAGTTTCAAAATAAAACACAATATACAGATTCATGATCATATTTACCATCACTTTATCCACATTACACGTTTCCTGCAGCTTTAAAGGTCATATTCAAAATCCTCTTCACCATGTTCCTCTAACTCTAACATGTGTCTCTAATCTGTCTACAAACCCCCCAATGATGAGAAAAGTCCATCCTCTCTGTCCTCTGCCTGCTCCACTTTTCAGAAAATGTGTGCTCAAACAGGCCGTTTGGAGATTTTCCCCTCATGACATCACAAAGGACAGTAGCCTCTCCCCCAGGTGGGTGACACTCCCACAGCTAGGTGTTTGTTCTGCCCTCTGAGTCTGCCTTCTCACCGTAAACAATAGGACATGGAGCGAGAAAGACCGAGTACACCCAAGCCCTTCCAGAGTGGGGGCGTGGTCAGACACAGCTCATTTACATATTTAAAGGTACAGACACAGAAACAGCCTGTTCTGAGCAGGGCTGAAATAGAGGGGTTTATAGACATGATCAAATACAGGATCAGAGTGGATTTAGAACAAGAAACTTCACACGTTTTGAGGAGCTCTGAGACTTATTTACACTTTTTGATAAGGGGGAGAATATGTCACCTGTTAAAGGTTGTTTTTTTTATCTTATCAGACTGTTAAGATTTTTAGTTGAAAAACTTCAGCTGTAGTTTTTAAATGTTTTGTTTGTCCATCTTTTTTTACTGGTCTGTTCTTATCTTTCCTTTTTGAAATCATCTCACGCGACAAGACTGAATATACGAGTCGTAAAGTGTTAAGTGTTTTTATTAAAGGGTAGACCATGTTTTCTCTGAACGTGCTGTCAGCAGATTAGAGCAGATGATGATCATAAATCATTAAATTTACGTTCTTCACGATGTGTTTTGGACGAATGGAGGGTTTTTTCTCGCTGTAGCAGGTCTGGGGGGAGGGGGTTCTTATTTGGACACGATTGTTACATCACTGGTTAATTTGTTGGCAGCTCGTCAAGACAAAACATCTCCTGTTGCATCTGAATCCTTCTGGACAGACCATGGACGTTTGGACTGACTGTAACACTAAATGTGTTTGTGAGAAAGCCATGAAAGAGTTTATTCATTTCTTTGTCAGAGAGATTTTATGTAACCAAACATTCCGACTTTTAATACAAATAAAACTTTGACATTTCTGGACAAGAGGATCTTTTATTGTTGCAAAATATTTAAAATCTTCTTTTTTTCTTTTTCTTTGTTTTTTTTATGTTTTTGTTTTTGCGGCAGCGCTCTACAATGTTTAGAATTAAACATTTTTAACACTAGGGGTCAGAGTTACATACTGCTCCTTTAAATAATTTGTCATTATGTAAGGTTTGAGAAAATTTGAAATGATAAAACACAACACACTGACTCAGGATCGTATTTTCCATCACTTTATCAACATTACGTCAAAACAGGCAAAACAACAAATCATCCCTTCAAAGAAAAAGCAACATGTCAGAATGTAATACATTTCCTTTATATGAAACCATCCCTCTAAAAAAGAAAAAACTACTTTAATGCACAGAACTTGGCAGTATCTCCATTGGAGCCGAACAGAAAGAGTCCGGCGTAGAGCGGCTGAGTGAACCGGGTCTGGACTCTGTGGAGGAGAGTCATGGTTTCAGAGATGCTGTAGAAGGACAGAACACCTGCGCTGTGATCCAGGTACACTCCTACTCTGGAGGATTTAGGGCCCGAGACAGAAGTTGAGCGGTTGTGGTGTCTGAAGTTATAACCACTGCCGCCACATTGTAAAACCCAAGACTTGTCGTTGCATCCAAAAACGCGCTCGTTCAAGTCTCCTGATCTGCCGATGCTCTTGTAAGCGACAGCGACTGACGCGTCCCTGCTCATCTCCACCTCCCAGTAACGGCGTCCACTAAATCCCTCTTTACTCAAAACTTGAGGGGAGTGAATGAATCTGTTTGGGTGTTGAATATAAGCTGTGTTTTTCCCGTCAAAGGTTATCTTTCTGTTCCCCTCTGATAGAACCAGAAACTTGTTGGCTGTGTTTGGATCCAGCGCGATCTCGCATGAATATTGTAAGAACTCGCCTCTGGTCGCCGGCTCTGCTGAAGGAGATTCCCTGGAAAGAATCGCCTGAAATTTGTCTCTGGCTTCTTTCACGGCTGCTATGATGTCCTCAACGTGCTTTCGGCGATTGGTTTTTGGTCTTGGTGGGTCTGTGGACTCGGGAAGTTGGGAAATTGAGGAATAACCTTGAAGAAATTGGATGGGATCCTCTGTGTTTGAGAGTTTCTCCAGCTCAGCGAGTTTCCTCCTCAGATCAGCGACCTCCTGCTCCAGCTTCTCCTGCAAGTGTTTGACCTGATTCACTTCAGTCTTCTGCCTGGATCTGATCTCCTTCTTTACATCGGACTTTTTCTTTTTGATGAAGGAGATCATCTCAGAGAAGATCTTCTCTCTTTCCTCCTCTGCCTCGTCAGCCGTTTGGTTGATCGTCCTGATCTCTTGCAGGAGTGTCTTCATGTCTTCCTCCCGGTCCTTGATTCTCTGGTGGATTATTCTCCGACTCTCGCAGAGCGCCTTCTTCTTCTCTGTTCTTTCCACCGCAGCCGAGACCGAGTCGTGGCCTTTGTGTTGGTCCACAGAGCAGAGGTAGCAGATAGTCTGACGATCGGTGCGGCAGAACATCTTCATCACCTCATCATGGCGAGAGCAGACGTTCTCCTGCAGCTTAACGGAGGCTTCAACAAGTTTATGTTTCTTAAAAGTTGGAGATTCATAGTGGGGTTGGAGGTGTTGCTCACAGTAAGAAGCCACACAAACTAAACACGACTTTGAGGCTTTCAACTTCCTCCCAGCGCAGCTATCGCAGGCAACATCGCCCTGTCCAGCGACGCGTTCACCGGCCGGCACCGCTCGAGGTCCAGACTTCTTCAGGTCGTCAACTAACTCAGCCAACAAGGTGTTTTTCACCAGGACGGGACGCGGCTTGAACGTCTGTCTGCACTGAGGACAAGAGGGGATTTTCTTCTTATCTTCTTGGTCCCAGAATCTCTTAACACAGCTCATGCAGTAGCTGTGTCCGCAGGGAATAGTCACGGGATCCTTCAGGAGATCCAGACAGATGGAACAGCACATTTTGACCTCGTCCGTTTGGTTTACCTGTTGTGCCATTGTTTTTTCTTTTTACCTCTCAGAGCCAGAGAATGTCACATCACACCAGAAGCCAAATCTTTACTGAACACTTGCTGGGTGGGGAGCAAGAAATAAAGTATCAGGATTGGGGGGGAAGGGAGTGGTTTACAATCTCTGGAGCAGGTTGAACCTTGGTCGTATTTATGATGCTAATTCAAACGTTTGCATTAGAGTTTGAACTTTGGAAGCGCCCTCCCTTTAAGCTTCAAATGGAGCTGCATGACACACAGTATACATTTTTTATTTTAGTTTTTATTTTACAGGGACATTGCATATCCCTGGCCAGATTTTATAAAAGGCTCCCTAAAAAAACAAAACAAATTCAAACATTGCTAAAAGCTACAAAAACAAGTATTAGTAAAAGCACTAATATATATATATAATCATATTTTAGGCCTCTCCCCGTCGAGCCTGGTTCTTCAGATATTGCCTGAAGTCACCTGACAGTAGAAAGTTTTCTTCCACATTTTTATGAGTTTAATCACATCATTAAAATATTTATCTTCTAATCTTGGAATAACATTTTATTCTATGATAGGACACCTTAGTTCTCTCTCATTAGGTCTTCATAAATGTGGCCTTATCAGTCCTAAAATATATGATATAGATATATATACAGTATATAACCAAACAGTGAGAGGGAAAAGAACACATCCCAAAAAAATGTAATTGATTGACTGATCATTACTGTCCAACTTTGTTATTCATAGAGAACAGATTTCCTCGTCCATGTTTGTATAATGATTCAGATGAAGCTTTGAATCCCTGGACATACTCCTTTCAATTAACCTCTCAAACAACTTCATGTACAGTTAATCAAATGGATCAGTAAAACAACAAATCAGTCACAAACACACGGCAGGTTAACGTGATGCCACTGCATCAGTTTTTTATTTTCACAGTTGAATTTGTCTTTTCTTGTTCCAAATCAGAGTTGTTGTTTTTTTATTTGAACACCCTGATCCTGACAAACATACGTTTCATATCAACACACGTCACATTACACATCGTTGTAAGCATCAAAACATGTCGACAACATGTTTGTTTTTTTTAAACACTGTTCTTCTCGCATCTTCGTCCACTCCAACCAAGAAACTGGCTTTCCTGAAAGAATCTCAATCAGTTCAAATACTCCCGTATCCAGAGAAAGTTTAGAGCCAATAGGATCAAAGTCCTCGGTACTGAAAATGTTCTTTTTTGTGTTTTACCAGATGATTCAGCTTTTATTGTGAAACTCTTAACATACTTTAACACATTGAACTGGACAATAGCAAACTTAGAACTCAGATTTCTTGGAGGAAAACCAGCCTGGCTTGGTTCAAAATCCTATTTTTTCTACTGAACTTCTTAAAAAATCATTCCTGTCTAACATGATGCATGATGTGAAATGATCTCTCTCACACACACACACACACACACACACACCCCAACACTGCATTGGATAAACACACACAAAGGGCCTAAAACTACAGCCGCCCTGGGTCAGACCCCACTGAAGTCCATCAGTTGTATCACGTTCTGGATCCCAAGAGTAGAACCAGATGGATTGTCTTTTACAAAATGCAAAATTTAACTAATTTGGCCGCAAATTTAGTCGCATTCAAGTCCAAACAAAGTCCAACACCAGCCCCCTTCAGGGGTTTTATGATGAAATGCATTCAGCATTATTTGATTTTAGTTGTCTTTGAAAACATTTGTCCCTTCATGTATTTGACTTAATGTGAGAAAAAGATGTCAAGAGTGCGTATTTAGGGTTGCCACACAATGGTGTTGTAGTCAAGACCATACTAACCGAGACCAAGACATACCCGAGACCAGAGTGCTCAGAGACCGGGACAAGACCAAGTCATTTAGGGGTTGAGATCAAGTCATACATAATGAAAAATCTTCATCTTGTGTTTAGTGGGCGTGTCAACAGTTTCCGATCGTAACACTGGGAAGGTTGTGGCCGACACAAAACATAAAAGCGAGAAATATTCGAGCTGCTGGTTGACCCAGGTGCGGCTGCAGCACTAACATCATGAACAACAGGCTCCTTTTGGTTTAAAGCAAAGAGAAAATAATTAAGACTACTGGGTTCATAGCAGGCATAGAAAGTCGAAGGCCGAGCCACCGATTGAAGAGTTTGACCAACGTTGGAGACGGGAAAGCGAGTGAATAATAGTGTATCATCGGCATATCAGGAGATACATCTTAAAGGAGCAATATGTAACTCTGACACCTAGTGTTTAAAATGGGTACCCCCCCCCCCTCTCTAGAGTCGATGCTCACACAGGTTGCCATGTGGTGGACACTGAAGCTTCAGTGTTTAGCCAGCTCTGCATGGGTCTGTAAACCTTTCTGCGTTCTAACCTCTCTCCATTTTTTAAAAGCATCTCCAATATTGATCCTAGTTTGAGCACGTTTCTAGCCAAACTCTTCATCAGCGGCTCAGGCCAAAGGTCAAGGCCATGGAAAGGTCGTGCTAAGTTTGAAGGTCAAGGTAAGGTCATAACACTACATCAGGTCAAGGCATTTATCCAACTGACACTTCAAGTTTAAAAAAAAATAAAATGACCTCCCTCCCTTAATGCAGGCACACTCACTAAACACACAAATGGAAGCTCATTCGTTCTCCAGTTTTAAGGTAAAACATTAATACGAAAATCGAATACACTCGCACACACACACACACCTGTCCTTCACGTTCAGCGATTCTTACAACCTGTAACATCAACAGACAACATGACGGGTATGTAGATGGAGCTTTATGATTGGTAGATAACCCACTATGTCACATCCCAGACACGACCATATAAGGAAAGAGTTCCATCTTGTCAGGCCCCTTGTTGCTAGGCAGAATTTGTTACCAGATTTATCAGGAACTCTTACATTATGGTTCGTCAACGTCCCCTACGAATCTCGAATCTAATTTTTTCCTGCCCGGATTTTATTTAATGGATTAATGGCAACACATTTTTAAAAATAATTAAATATTTCAATGACAGTGAAATATTTAGAGTTTTTTTGCGGGGGCGTGTCGACACATCATGTCTGTGGTGAGATTTGTTTCTTTTCATTGACATATTTTTTTGCTACTGTTTCCCTACTTCACAACTGACTCACACAGACAAACACAAACAGACAAGAGTGATATTTACAGAATTTACAACAGATTTTATCCTCCGTTTACTGCAGGCGGGAGGAGAGGCAGGGAGTCGGGGTCAGGACTGAACGTGTCCTTTTAACTCAGTCATACTGCACAAAGAAACCTCGAAAGGTTGTTGATTGTTTTTTACAATGTGAGGTTTGGAAGTCACTCAGTTTATTTGAGTTACAGTACGCAGTTTGGGGATCGAGGAGAGGATGGACGTTAGGTTAGGTGAAAGGAAGTGTCCTTCTGTGGCATGTAAAAGGACACTAAAGCGGTGTCTGAAACCACAAACTCCCATACGGCCTACTACAAACTCAAACAGTACAGCAAAGTGTTAACTAATCTGACTGTTAGAATGCCTTTACCAACATACTAAAATACTGGTCACATGACGTATATCCGGACAGAGCTACAATGGGTTAGCTAACCTCAAGCTAGCACTGGCGTAGGTCCATAAATAGAATTCAACAACATACATCAGTTCATTGCTAATTCAGCTACATAGTTATTTTTAGATTATTTTAAACCGTAGAAAACGTACTACAGTAGCCTACGGTTGCTTTCGATTATATGCCACTAGTTGGCTGGATGGAGCGCTCCGTCATGGGTCAGTCTGAGAGCTGCAATGCATTGTGGGGAGGGGGGGGTTTAGTACGACCACTGGCTCCCGTTTTGAAATTACAATTTCTGGCCGATCTAGTATACTTCAGGGCATTTCTTGCACACAAAATTGGACATAACTAGTAAGAACAGAATGAAAGTTCGGGTTTCAGACACGGCCTAAGTTTGTAAGGACAAGGCTCATTGTTTCGAGGTTTTTGTTGTTTTTTCAATTTACATCCATGAACATGTTTCCCAGCAGATGGCGAGTTTTGCTAATTTCTTAAAGTATTAACTGAATAAGTCTAGCCGTTTTGATAGGCCAATTTTTGATGTTTGACGATTTTGCATGGTTTGCCGATTTTCCATTTTTCTTAAGCCTTCCTGTTTGGGAAGCTAGGAAAATCGCCTCCAGCTCATACACCAAGCTTTACCTTCCCACTAAAGTTCAGAGAGATTTTTACTTGATGTCAAAGTCAGCTTTCCGAATCCAAGACGTACTTCAACCAAATAATTGTACAAACCAAAAACAATGAGCCGAGTCTGTCTATACAGTCAACGACTTGTGCTGACAAGTCTGACAGAGCTGTGATTTTAGGATCATTAGAAGGAATCATCAGCAGTGTCAACAGGCACAGAACTCAAATGTCTTCTCAGACATGTCGGTGCCAAGTTTCACAAATGAGGAACGTCTTTACGGTCTGTGGAGGGTAAAAGGCAGGAGAAATGGGACGTTTCCCAGAACAAATGGAAGACATCCAGGTCCCCACAAGGCAGGTACTTCAGAGGAAATAATCCCAAAACCAGAGGGAACGTTTGTTAACTGATCAGTTGTTTAAATCTCTTAAGTGGTTGAGGCCGTTTTAAAGCAGCCTAGTTTATCATTCAGACCAGAGGTAAGAGCCATTTACAGAAAATGGGTCCAGTCCCACGAGACACTGAGTGATGAAACAGGATGTGTCCAACAGCACAGTGTCCCGGTGTTGGTATGATGAGTTTCTTTAAAGCATCAGTGAGATGCCTTCGTTAGTGTCCAGTGAAACATGAGATGACTCCTCTTTCAGTCGTCCAACAGATGTTTGATGGAGCTCATAAAACAGAGTCTACATATTTTCCAGTTTGGCAGCAGAGACAGGACTTCAGAAAGTCTTCAGTAGTGGTCCAGACCAGAGACGAGGACGGTATCCAGGATACAAATTAAAATACCTATGCACATTTGGATTCTTTCCAGTAAAAAGGATGTTTCTGAGGTTAAGACAAGGACTCCTGCTCAGTTTCCAGTCGATAAAAAGTATTTGAGAACACAGAAATACATTTGTCATTCAGTAGACCCAATAACTAACCAGGAATTCGGGGGTTAGGACTCTCTAGTAAATCAAAAAGTTAAAACAATGACTTTGTTTTGTTTCCGAGGGAGATCAGAGTGGACTGGTTCTAAACCAGAAGATTGGACTTTGTTTGGTTTCCAGTATATCAAAAAAAGTGAACAGAAAGGTTCTAGACCCTGGATGGGATTTTCAGTGGATAATACAGCAATGGTTCCAGACCAGAGGAGCTGGACGTGATTGGTTTCCAGTTAAGAAAATTATGCAAAATAAATGACAAGTTCTAGACAGGAGATTTGGGATTTCCAGTGGATTAAACCCCTCACTTGTTCTATACAAGATGTACTGGAAGGTATTTCAACAGAACTGGTTTGTTTCCCAACAATTGTTATGGAATATTTTACAATAGAGGCAATGGACTGGTTTGGTTTCCAATAAACCAGGTTCTAGACCCTGGATGGGAGTACTTGTATGGTTTGCCGATTGTTGAAGGGGATCTCTACAAGACCAAAGACGTAGGAACCCGTTTGGTTTTACATTAAGTTCCAAAAGAAAAGGGACAATGCCCTGAACATGGACGGGATCTGTTCTCGACCCAAGATGTTGGAATTTGTTTGGCGTCCAGTGGAGGAAACAGAACTGGTTCCATATTCAAGATATTGGTAGGTACTTTGAAGGAACTTGTATTCTACAGTACAACAGTGGTGCTGGAGCTTGTCTGGTTTCAAGTAGATAAAGCCTGTTGTGTTCAAACTCAGGAGCTGAGAAAACTAATTTGTTTATCCGTGGAAGATCAGGTCCAACCCTTCAACACCAAATTTGACAGAGCTAATTTGGTGGCAAGAACCAGAAACTGGACATCATCTAGAGCAGAGATTATTTAGTTTCCAAAAGATGAAATATGATGGTTTCCGGTCTGCAGAGTTGAGGGAACTGAACTTTTCAGAGAAAGACCAGCATGAGATTTAGATCAGATTTAGACCAGATTTAAGGGAACTTGTTGAACAAAACCGAAGGCATCTGGAGTAAGGAACTGGATCAGCGTCTAGTTAAAGCAACATGACAATTCCATCAGAAGCAAAAGTTTTGGCAATGTCTCGTCTAAGTCTAGACCTGGCCAAATGCTTGGTTTCCATATGCAGCTACTTTTTTTGGTTTCTAATCGATTAAACTGGATGTACTCCATATCAGATTGAGGGAAATGTGTTCAGTTTTTAGGGAAAGAGGTTCAGACTTTAAAATATAGAACTGGTTTGGGTGAGTCATTGGAAAACCTTCAGAAGACGAGATGAGACTTGTTCTGTTCACTTTCCATTAGACAGAAAGAAAAATAGACATTGGTGAGGGAACTCGTTTTTTTCCAAGTAGGTACAACAAGATGGGTTCTGGTTCGGAAGTGGTTTGGGTTTCCAGTTGGTGAAAAGAAATCCCAAAACAGCTGTTTGTCTGATTCAGTTTCTTTAGTTTTTTATTGAATAGTTCATATGGTTTGGTTCCCAGGGCGAATCTGGTCCAGCTTTCTGGATTCCCATTGGATAAAACATTCCCTTTTTTTCACACATTACCAGCTGATGAAAGGGGGACCTTGATTAAACCAGAGGTGAAGGAACTTGTTTGGTCTCCAGTATTGGGGATTCCTGCTCTGGTTCCAGTGTGTCTCCAATGGTCGGGTCTTCATTGCTGCTCACGGTGTTGGAGTCTACGGGAGCCTCATCCTAAACACAAACACACCGATGAATACCAAGTGAGAAGAGAATGATAAATCTCACTTCTTCACCTCTAATCTGTGTTGTCTGTGTGTGTATATATATATTTGTGTATGTGCTGTCTTACCGTCACCCAGGCATGTGCCAGGACCTCCTCGGCGGTGAAACGAGTGTCCACGTTCACCTGCAGCATCTGACTAATCAGCATCTGAGGAACAGGTCATGTGACTGTTAGCAACACGCCGCCTGGTGTTATCTCTTATTTCTGATGCTGGACTTCAGTGATCACAGGAACATGTTTGCAACCTTAAATTGTTCTGATGCAAGACATTTTTAAAAGCAGTTTAACGCAACGGAGCAGCGGCCGTTGTCAACAGACTGTTGTCATGGAGACGGGAGAGACTAGGTTGACACAGGGTCTAACTGTTGTATAAAAGTAATATCACACTGGAGGAGGTGGAGATGTTGTGGATGTCAGAGCCAATCACAGCAGAGCTGATATTCAGGACCTCGAGTGTGGGATTGCTTATTGTACCTTTGCTGGGAGGCTGATGGTGTCCCAGTCTGGAGACGGAAACTCCAGCTTCCCTCTGAGGATCTGATCGAACAACTCCTCCTGCACATTATTCTCACTGAGGAGACAAAGAGGAGCGAGAAACAAGAAATCAGCCGGATGAAAAAAGGCCAAAATTACTCCAGTCATCAAAGTCATAGAAACGCCCCGACAGCCATTAAGTTTGGAAACGTTTGTATAAACTGACCTTCTGAATGGAGGAAATCCACACAGCAGGATGTATGTGATCACTCCAGCTGCCCAGATATCCACCTTCAGACCATAGCTACACACACACACACACACACACACCAGTTTAAAACTACACGTGTCATGTGATATTTTAGACCCAGAAACTGTTTTAACGTTTCTCTTTTCCCTCACCCGGTCTCGGCGATGATCTCCGGGGCGACATACGTGGGCGTGCCACACACCGTGTACAGAGGTCCCTCCACCACCGTCGCCAAACCAAAGTCCCCGAGCTTCAGAGACTTGGTGCCGTCTGGATACTCGCACACCTGCAGACACACAGAAACACACACTGAAAATACATGCACAGACTCAAGGAGGTGACAACCAATCAAAACGACCAAATTCAGGAATTTTAAACAAAATGAAAAAAGAGTCAATCATGTAAAGTAACGAGCAGACGCAGGATCCTGAGCAGACGTGACCACCTGAGGTCCACCAAGGTGTCGTTCGGCCAATCAGAAAAGACACTGGTGAAAGGAGGTTCCCACTCTGGCTGCCCGTCGGTCCTCGGGGTTGAGTTTTGTGGGGGGCCAGAAGTGGAGCTCGCAATAACACAGCCCGGGCCTGTTGTAGGTGGCAACAACTGCTTTGGTTGCCATGGCGACTAAGGGCCATATGGTAGGTTATGTTTTTCATTAGGGCACGAGTACCTTGGTGTTTATTTCAAATGTGAGGGGAAACCTTCTTGGCTTTAAGGAGCAACTTCCTGAAGTTGCTTCATAATAATATAGGTTTTGGAATATTAATTTTGCAAGTATATCTTTGAAGTTTGAAGTGTGTGTGTGTGTGTGTGTGTGTGTGTGTGTCTGTGTGTGTGTACCAGCAGGTTCTCAGGTTTGATGTCTCGATGGACGATGTTCATTCGGTGCAGGTACTTGATGGCGCCGGCCAGGTTGAACACCATGGCGCTGGCGTCACGCTCGCTGTACTTTGTGGAGGAGGTGATGGCGTCGAACAGGTCGCCACCCTGACGGAGGTAGAAGGAGAGAAATTTAAAAAAAATGTTTCTGACAATTCCAGAGTGGGAGGAGCAAAAAAATATAGGAAGAAGAAACAAAAAAAGAAACCTTGACGAGCTCCATGACGAGGAAGAGCTGACTCGGAGTTTCATCCACCTCGATTAACTCGATGATGCTGGGATGTCGAACCCGCCGCAGCACCGCCACCTCGTTTTCTATCAGGTGCTCCTGCACACACACACACACACACACACACACACACACACACACACAGTTCACAGTCGATACAGCAGGTGGCAGTATGCTCATAGTTGATTTATAAATCAGAAGAAGAAGAAACCATGATTCTGTCCTGAACAGAAAATAAGAGTTACCTTCCCACAGCAGCGAGCTTTGTCGATTATTTTCAGAGCGTACTCCTGACCTGTCGACCTGTCGAGCAAAACACACCAAATATACAAATCACAATCAACGTAACAGCCGTGGGGTTTGTTATGTAAAGAAGTCTTAGTAGGAAAATCACCTTTTTGTCTTAAATCTGCAGAAACTCATCAACGACATCTTTCTTTAAAATAAGTTCCTTCAATGCAGGGCCGTGTCTGACCAGAGGGGCGGCATGGGCCCCTCCTAAAAATTTGATCGGCCACTCCAGAAACATCCCAAACTGTGATTGGCTACATGCCCGGTCAGAGGCGGGGCTTATGTTAAAAGTGACCTTAATTAATTGAACAGGTCTGTTGTTGTTTTTAAAACTGCTCCTTACCTCTCCACACACTCTTTCACCACGGCAAAGTTTCCGTCCCCGATCACTTTGCCGACCTCGTACTTCTCGTTGATGATGGAGGAAGAGACCGAGCGGTTCCCGTTCACTGAGTGAGAAGAAAGAGACGCGTTCAAAACGTAGAAGGAGGACATGCTGGCTGCTGCAGCATAGCATGTTTCCTTAATGTCTGATCAGATAGTAAGGTCACTTTATCATTTCACTCTCTACACATCTCACTGATTGGACCTTTAAAGTCTTTATATGTGATGTTTTGATCCAGCAGATGTCGCCCTTGAGCACCAGCATGAAACCAAAACAACTCGCGCTGCATTGTTGTGTTAGCATGCTAATGCTAGCGATCTTTATTATGCTGGTATCTTCACACTGCATGTAAATTTACCTGAAATGAGCGTGATCTAGAAACACAGTTTCAGTGAGTACAGTATGTTATTCTTCTTTTCTCTAGTCCCTCAATTAAACAACTTTTATACACGAGGGGAGGAGTCAGCCGGCCGTCCTGGCGATGTAAATAAAGTGAAGATAGGACTCTGAAAACTCTGAAAACATCACAGACAGTGGGACTCGGGTGTTACACCCATTGTAGACAGTCATGACTCACAGAGTTATTTTCAGAGGATATTCTTGATTTCTACATTTAAGTGTGAAAAATCACAAATAAAGACTTTAAAAAACCTTTAAGAAGCCTTTTTGTATTTTCTGTCGAGCGTTGGCCTCAAGTCTTCGGCCTTTTTTCACTCTTGACTCTGATTTTATTTTAACATCAGCACTAAAGGCACTCGGGTAAAACTGTCCGGTGTTATGTTCAGTTAGTGATTCATAATGAAAGATCGAGGGTCGTTTTCTGACGCCGTTTCCGTTTTGACTCGCCAACACTCGAGGCGTTCCCGCAGCCCGTGACTCACATGACTGCACAGGGTTCACTTTAGGACCTCCTCGGCCTTTTTTTTAGAGACGCTGTTTTTAAAAAAAATCCACTTACATACTATTCCCAAAAGTCTCCAAACCTTTGAGTTCACTCTGACCCGCTGAGTCATAAAGATGTTTTTAGAAAGCCGAGTATCTCGCTCTCTGAACCAAACCATCAGGATAAGAACGTCTCAGCTCTCAAAAGCTTTTTTATATTTAAAGTAAGTCTTTAAATCGTGAGGATTTAAAAATATCAGCACACACACACACCTTCTACTTCGGCATCGTCCGGCTGCTCGGCCTCTCCGTTCACATCCGTGGAGGAGGAACGACGCGGAGAGATCTGCAGAGACGAACGACAAAACTCATGAGAGGAAAAAAAGATTCAGTTTGGATTCAAAAAGTGAGAAGAAGAGAAAACAGAGAACTCAAATGAAACGGCAGCTGAAACAATATGAGGACACGAGCGGGCCTGTGGACAAAAACTAAGGTGGTCAGAGTCCGGAGATCGAGACCTTCAGAAAGTGGTCTTGAGACCGGTCTTAGTTTGGAGTTCTGCAACACTACCCTACACTGCCCCTAGTGGTTGTATGCATATTGCAGCTCGCGGACACTAATTTCTGAGGACGTGCACAACCAACGCTCCAAACCGCCGCAGGAGGATGATGTCATACCTTTGTGTACGTGTAGTTAAAGGAAGTATACCCGGGGCTTTCAGGTCCCTTTACTTCCTTTAGACGGGCTTTTATTTTGAAAGAAAAATAACAAACTTCCTCTCGATCGAATGTTACAAGGATTCCATTTTAACAAGTTAAGTCAAATTAATTTAACATCGCTCTGTTTTGTGATCCTGCGTCGTTCCAAATATCGACGATACAATAAAAACTATTTTTAAAAATGTTGAAAAAAATAAAAATAAAATACTGAAAATAAAATCTGTTTAAATATTTTAAGAGAGCAGCTGTGACTGCAAACGGCGAAATAGTCACAGCGTCAATAATTCATAAATCAATCTGACCTTGAGGCTGCGGCGGGTCCCGGGGCTGGTGGGGGAGGGGCTCGACCTGGAAGACTTCCCTGCTGACTGTGATCCTGACGCCTCATTGGCTGCACACACACACACACACACAGAAGAGAAAGGAGCCGTCTGATTGGTTTAAAAACAATCACATCATTATCACTGCAGAGTATTTGAGAGGGGTTGATTTTCATACCCGGGCCTGGAGACTTCGTTCTGGGCGGGCCTTTAGGTGAAGTCCTAGACGAGGAGAAGCCCGAGCCGCTAGGGATCTTGGGAGTTGGAGTTTTCAAGGGAGCGCTGGAGCGAGTTCCTTTAGTTTTGCAGTCTGGAGGGAAAGAGGAGAAGAGGACACGTTCAATATATCTAAAGACAAAAACAAGTTACTGAATCGTCTGCGTCTCACCGTTGACAAAAGTCGGCGTTTTGCTGCTGTGTGTGAGCACGAAGTCGTCCTGAGCGTAGCGGAACTTCTCCGGCCCGCACGCCATGAACACGTCGTCATCGCCGAAGAAATCCTGCAGACAGGTGAGCTACAGAGACGCACAAACACGAATCAGACGGTTTGTTAAAATCTGCACAGACGTGATCTTTGATCTTTTTCGTCTCTCTCGTTCTCCTAAAAAGATTTTCTTTGAAACGACCACGGATTAGGAGACGAGAAACACTTTCAGAAGTATTTGACACACTTTCTGATACTCTCTCCACTCTACAACTCCCCCCCCCCCCCACACACACACACACACACACACACACACACACACATTTGCTGTCCTTCATTTTACCTCTCATTCCTCTTTTGTCCTTCAGCCCCCCCGCCCTGTTTTGCTTTCTACTAAACGCCTCCGGATCTGCCCAGCGTGTGTGTGTGTGTGTGTGTGTGTGTGTGTGTGTGTGTGTGTGTGTGTGTGTGTGTGTGTGTAAAGCAAGGACAGGGTTCTTTCTGGATGGCTAGTTACCATGGTGACCACACTGTAGTATAAACGTGTGTGTGTGTTGGGATCTCCGTCCTGCTGCTTGAAGTGACTGCACAAACTGAATGAAGGGTGGCCACGCACACACACACACACGCACACACACACACACACACACACAGTCTGAAAAGAGGAAAGTCGTCTGAGGCAAAATAAAAGCCGTCATACGGAGGAAACACATTTTCTTTAAAGTTTGTTTTCTTGCGCTGAGGCAGAAGCTATCATACCGGCTACTCTTTCGGTCGCCTAGCAACCTGCGCCGCTGACATGCAAATCAAATATTTTTAAAATAAAGGAGGCTTTTATTTTGAAGGATTGACTGTTACCCCTTATTCCGTCAGCGCTACGGTTTTTGCCCCCGTCGAACGGCACTCGCCCCGCCCCACTGGATCTGAGTAACTCGCCTTCTGCTTCTCTTAAGCTCCCCATCGTGTGACAGCCGCCACTCTTATCTGAAAGTTCAAAGAGTGTGTGTGTGTGTGTGTGTGTGTGTGTGTGTGGTAAAAATAGCCCTGTTAGACTTTTTAAGCTCCAATGTGAGCAGACAAAAGAGTTTCAGAGCGGATCAGAGAATATTCACAATCTGTTCAACGTGCCGGAAAGGTGAAAAAAAAAAAGAATCATTCGCTGACTGTGACAGTTTCACGGCTTTCAACAGACTCCACTTTTAGCTCCAAGCATCAAATATGAAGCTTCAAACGAGACTGAACTCCCCGCACTCAAGACTGAAAATTACACATTTAAGAAGCTCCATTTATTAATGAAGTGCTGTGATTTGATTCCCACTGAACCTACTTTTACAAACCCTCAGATTAAAGGTCCAATCAGTGAGATGATAAAGGTATCTTACTCTCTGATCATTAAGGAAACATGCTATGTTGAAGTGCTGGCTTCTCTGACAACAATGCAGCAGCCAGTATGTCCTCCTTCTAACTTTAGATTCTGCTCCTGAATGCTCTGGATTTGTTTGGACCAGAGAAGGTAGGCGCTTTTAAGACACGCCCCCACACGGCCGTTTTGGACGCCCCTCAGTTTACCAGATATGAGAGCAGTTATCAGGTCAACAGGTGTTGCAGCGATGGAAGTGGTCAAGAGAAGTGGTTCAGATAGAAGTGATTGTACCCGACCTAAAAAGCCTCTGCATGTTTCTAATAAGCTCCACGAGCAGAAACGTGCTCAAACTAGGATCAATATTGGAGATGCTTTTGAAAAATGGAGAGAGGTTAGAACACAGAAAGGTTTACAGACCCATGCAGAGCTGGATAAACACTGAAGCTTCAGAGTCCACCACATGGTGACCTGAGTGAGCATCCACTCTACAGAGGAGAGGGAGACAGCTCTCTATGATGTTTAGAATTTAGACTGCAGTACCTATTTTACCCACTAGGAGTCAGAGTTACATACTGCTCCTTTAAGACTGATCTTTAAATAAAAAACATGGCGTCACCTGTTTCCCGTCCAGCGTGTACAGCCTCTTGACGGCCCCGGAGTCCAGCTTGATGGCCTCGGTGATGTCGGCGAGCACCTGATCGAAGGCGTGCGCCGTCTTCTTGTTCAGCAGGATCCTCACGGCCTTGCGGGGCTTCACGCCGCTCCGGATCACCGTCACCAGCTTGGGCTTGATGAAGTCTTTGCTCTCTCGGCCCTCCCGACTCTCGGGCCGCTCTTTGGAGGCGACGCCGGTGCTCGCGGACACGCCCGTGGACGCCGTGGAGGGCCGGGGCGAGCCGGTGGCGCCGGGTCCGCCGCTGGCCCCTGGCTTCCAGCTCGGGATGGCGATCTTCGTGTAGTCGACCTTCCTGTACGGCTCGTTGGACGCACAGACGTAGCACTCTCCTGAAGAGAGAGAGAGAGAGAGAGAGAGAGAGAGAGAGAAGAAAACTTAAGACCTGAAAAATCTAAAGATATTTATACCTGTCTTGTTACCATGGCAACAAAAATAGAAATGTGTATTTTTCTTATTGTCATAAAATAATTTAAAGTGTAAATAAAACGGGATCAGTGTGGTGAGTCGAGTTCACAGTCAGAGGTTGTTAAAGAGCTGCTGTAGTCAATAACCGTGTGTGTGTGTGTGTGTGTGTGTGTGTGTGTGTGTGTGTGTGTGTGTGTGTGTGTGTGTGTGTGTGTGTGTGTGTGTGTGTGTGTGTGTGTGTGTGTGTGTGTGTGTGTGTGTGTGTGTGTGTGTGTGTGTGTGTGTGTGAAGTGGAGGTGACAGCAGATGTCAGCTTCACTCTCTCTCAGCTGGAGACGTGAGGAGGGAACTGAACAAACAGATCAGCTCCTGCAGCCGCTGATGGAGACAAAGAGCAGCTTTCTCCCTCAACTCCTCTTCTCTACTCGAGTAAAAGTAACAACGCCGACTGTAGGAAGTGAAACCCGACACCAGGAATGACGGTACACACACGTAATCACTCCGTGTAAGATTAAAGGTCAAAATCCACTTCACCATGTTTCTCTAACAAATATGTGTCAATGATGAGAAAAGTCCATCCTCTCTGTCTTCTCCCTGCTCCACTTTTCAGAAAATGTGTGCTCAAACAGGCCGTTTGGAGATTTTCCCTTCATGACATCACAAAGGGCAGTAGCCCCTCCCCCAGGTGGGTGACACTCCCACAGCTAGGTGTTTGTTCTGCCCTCTGAGTCCGCCTTCTCACCGTAAACAATAGGACATGGAGCGAGAAAGCACAGAGTACACCCAAGCCCTTCCAGAGAGGGGGCGTGGTCAGACACAGCTCATTTACATATTTAAAGGTACAGACACAGAAACAGCCTGTTCTGAGCAGGGCTGAAATAGAGGGGTTTATAGACATGATCAAATACAGGATCAGAGTGGATTTAGAACAAGAAACTTCACACAAATGTTTTGAAGATTTTAGTATCCTCCCCCCCCCCCCTCCTCCCTCCCCCTTGCTTAGATCCCCAACAGACTCTGAGAGTGGCTTCACATTATTACATGACTTCAGGGCAGTTAACGACTTCAAGCACGTTTTTGTTTCACATACTTTATCTGAACACACGTTAACGATCGTTAATCTTTCATGTGGGTTTATTAAACAAGTGTTATTAATATTAGAAATCATATTAAACCTCTGAGGCAGACTGCAGCCAATCACAGTCACTCTCCAGTTTTACCTTATATGGAGAAAAATGGTTTCCTGTCTCTCACTCTCTCACACACACACACCTCAGAAACACACCTTTCTGTCTCTCTACTCCTTTAACATCTTCACACACACGGACAGGTACTGTGTGTGTGTGTGTGTGTGTGTGTGTGTGTGTGTGTGTGTGTGTGTGTGTGTGTGTGTGTGTGTGTGTGTGTGTGTGTGTGTGTGTGTGTGTGTGTGTGTGTGTGTGTGTGTGTGTGTGTGTGTGTGTGTGTGTGTGTGTGTGTGTGTGTCCTTATCACTCTACGTGCTGACTTTCACTTTCCAATTCAAAGCAGGTGAACAGGACTAAACTGGGTTTTTATTCAAACACTCCTTCGATAGGACGCTGAGGAAACACTTCTAAACTTTTCCTTTTTCCACTTCTGCCCCTCGAAGGCACAAAGAAAACCCTGAACGCCAAAGTCCCGTTTGCAGGCCCCATGGCGCTCCGCTGTTTCTATTTATTTCACAAAGTGCTTCAGAGTGGAGCATCTGTCTCGGAGAACGTCTCCGGCTGAACGGCTTCCTGTCTCTAACGCTCATTAGAAGACATTTCAGCCGCTCACACACGTCAATATTGATGATAAGTGAAGTTACTCAGCCGCTGGTCTGTTTCTGTTTAAACGACTTGATGCTGGACTCAAGCACGTGTATCAAAAGACCCGAGAGGACGAACAACCAGACTTTTTATTTTACACAGCTTTCAGATTTCTAGAAATTTGCATTGCATCCCAAATTCAAACATCATAGAGAGCTGTCCCCTCCCTCCTCTGTAGAGTGGATGCTCACTCAGGTCACCATGTGGTGGACTCTGAAGCTTCAGTGTTTATCCAGCTCTGCATGGGTCTGTAAACCTTTCTGTGTTCTAACCTCTCCATTTTTCAAAAGCATCTCCAATATTGATCCTAGTTTGAGCACGTTTCTGCTCGTGGAGCTTATTAGAAACATGCAGAGGCTTTTTAGGTCGGGTACAATCACTTCTATCTGAACCACTTCTCTTGACCGCTTCCATCGCTGCAACACCTGTTGACCTGATAACTGCTCTCATATCTGGCAAACCGAGGGGCGTCCAAAACGGCCGTGTGAGGAGTCGTCTTAAAAGCGCCTACCTTCTCTGGTCCAAACAAATCCAGAGCATTCAGGAGCAGAATCTAAAGTTAGAAGGAGGACATACTGGCTGCTGCACTTCAACATAGCATGTTTCCTTAATGATCAGATAGTAAGATACCTTTATCATCTCTCTCTCTACACAGCTCACTGATTGGACCTTTAAGAACACCACCTTGTCCTCTTAGGGCTTCTGTACGTCTATATTTTTACAATAAAACATTTAACGTTGACTTATGACTCAATCAAAGGTGAATGGTTTGACTCCCTCAACTTTCAGATGTTAGCATAAAATGGATGGACATTAAATAACACAATTAGAGAAAATGTTGTTGAAGCCTCAATGAGAAGCACTTTTATATCTAACTTTATTTTATAGTCCTTTTATTACCATTTCAAAGTTTCACCAAATGGATCCAAAAGGAGGGGAAACAAACAATGGGGGACCCACTGGGTGGTGGACTTTACAAAACTACGTTCCTGCCGTTTGCCCTCCATATTGATCGTCCATTCTGCTTTTGATAAATAATTAAAGCGTGTTTCTATGACAGAGCTGACAGGAAGTCGACAGTGAGGACGTTTAAAGAGGATGTTTTAATTAATCGATCTACGGGAAGAGTGTCAGGTTGGAGTAGTTCACTAAGTCTATTTATTCCTACGGGAGAAAACTTTAAGTTTGGTTGTAACTGAGTTATCTTTGACTTTTTAAAATCCAATTAACCAATCTTACTTCAAGGAAATTGTTTGGATAACGGTCCAGATTGACGAGATCAACCTAAACATCCAGAGTAACGTTCAAAATCACAGATTCTGTGTTGACGTTCGGTCATTAGAAGGGTCCAGATCCAAGCTTAATCCCCTTTTTGTTTGTTTTACAAAATGTACAAATTATTTCCTAAACAGTCTTGTCCCCTAGAATAGGTTGACATTTTTTGGGCAAAGTGCTTTTTTAGCTTTTTTTGCCAACAGTTGGACAAAAGTATAAAAAACAATCCGGAGAAATAATGCTTATCATTAAACTAGAGCAAGCAATCAGTAATCTTAGGTTAAAGTTTGGAAACTAGGGGAAACATATTGACCCAGCCCTAAGAAAACAGATCAAGTATATCTTGAGTGTTTGGTTGGTTGATTTGAACCCAAAATGTTGATGCAACAAATCTCTGGTTTTAGTTGCATTAAGTTTAAATGATGAGAATTAAATGAAACAGATTTCCAATAAAATGATCAGAAATGTTGAAGGTGAGTTGATTCTGAACGAGGTAGAGAAAAGAGAAGGTTGTGAGTCCTACCTTCCACTAGTTCGTCCATACTCGTGATCTTCTTGCTGCCATCTATAGTGTAGATCGTGCGCACGCCTTGCGGCAGGTGCAGGTTATCCGCCAACGAGCGCGTCAGCTCCATCAGCAACGCGTCGTAGGAGCGGAACCGATCGCTGGAGACCGCGTACACCAGACCCTTGAAGTACCGATCTCCGTTGCGGTAGAACCGCACCTTTTTGGCCCTTTTCTCCGAGGTGAGCGCCTGCAGGGTTCGGGTCCGGTAGTAGCTGCAGTTGGCGCTGTGGGCAGGGCTAGGGACCAGGCTGCTTCCCCGGGAGCTTGGCCCTGATCCCCCGCCGCCGCCGCCGATACTACTGGTGGAGTCATCTCTCTTGGTGCGAGGGGAACGTCCTCTGCGAACTTTGTCGCGTTCGTCGAAGTGTTCCAGCTCGAGGGTCTTGCTCAAAGACATGGCGGATATTGGTCAAGAAATTTTCAACAGAATACTTGCTACATACGATTCATCGTCCAACAGCTGAAAACTTTAAACTCCAATCCTTGATGGCTGGTTCCAAACTCCCTTGACGACCAAGTGACCTTTTCGAGAACCAGTATAGGAGAACTCTAGAAGCCTATCTGGGGATAAAGTAGTCCTCAAATCGGGGTTTGTAGATTCTCAAAACCCAACAGCTTTCCCTTTGATTTTCAACATGCACTCTCCTAAAACCAGTCCAGATCAGTCCAGTCCAGTTGGCTGGAAGAACCCGGACGGTAACAAGTAGATCCAAAAAAAGGTAAGTGTTTTTGTGTATAGGTATCTGGTCCAAGCTGTGGCTCCCCAGTTTCTGTCACACCATCACAAGATGGCACAAGTACTCCCAGTAATCGTCAGAAGGTCAGGTCCCCCTTTTTAATCCAGTGGTATCCTTCCCAGTGTTTCCGTAGAAGGAAGACAATGCTGGAACCAGACACAGTTCTTTCTACACCATAAGAATCCTGAAATCCGGGTATTCCAGTGATGCTCTATTCAAGAGACCTACAATGAACATCCAAGTGAAGGCTCAGTGGTTCATTTAAAGGCCACTTCGATGCTGTAAATGGACGCTAACCTTGTTGGTAACACCGAAAATCAGACTGTCCGGTTTTGGGATAGTCTCCTGATTCCTTATCATTCCAAGCAGGTCTCACCGGGGAGGTTTTCCCGCAAACTAATTTCAAGCTCCAATCAGAAACATTAAGGCCACAAAACCCACAAACCCAGCAAATGTCTTCTTGATGATATGGACGTCTCTTCGCAATGACCTTCCAGTAGCCCAAGTGACCTGGCTCTAAACCACGTTCACGGCCGGTGTGAGAATCTGTCCCGAGTCCGAGCTTCTGATCTGTCACAATCGTTCTGGTAATCCTGTTCAGTAATTTCTGACCTTGCCACACTTTTTTGTCTCCCGGCGTCCTCGGCAAACCGTCCACCTCTGAGAAAAAGAAATGACAAATCACATGGTTTTAGAGATCCCATCCTCAGATACGCAACAAACCGGCAGAATTCAGGCTTCACACAACACTCCTGATACAAAAAAAAAAGGAAAATGATACTGGATTTACTCGTTTAAGATGACTAATCACATGGTTGCATTTACGGTTGAATTCTGAGCACAGTGCTTTGCAGAAATTGCCTCCCTTTGGAAACCACGAGTATCTGTGCCTCCCATAGCTTTACATGCAGCCCGGTCTAATTTAAAATGCAAAGGAGGTTATAAGTTACAGACACTCACCTCATTTTAGGAAAATGAATTCCCTGAAGGCCAGAATAAAGAATTCCCATTGATTCCCACCTGAATATGAATCACCTGAAGCCTGGGCCAAATTAGAGCTTTTCCATAAATGATAGTGAAACCTGAGAATCCTACTTCATCAGATAAATGAATTGACTTTCTCCATCTATCCGCCCAGACACTGCTAAGCTGTGCTGTCAGCGCCATTCAAACACACACACGCACGCACACACACACACACACACACACACACACACACACACACACGCACGCATGCACACACACAGGGAGAGGGAGGCACCTACCAATAATGCCGTGAAACCGGTTTGTTGCTATGGAGGCTTTCTCTTCTTCCCGTGTTCCGGTTCGTTTAGTTGGATCCTTGCTCCACTACGGCTGCGCAGACCCGGTCCAGGCCTTTCAGCTTACCGGGGATTCGGGGATGCAGCAGCGGCAGGTTGCACCGGAGGAGGACCGGGATGCACTGAGGCAGGCGGGGGATAGCAGCATGGCCGCTGCAGCAGAGAGAGAGGAGAGACCCGGCTAAACACCCCCCGCCCCTCCCCTCTCATCCGCGGCTGTACGTGATGACAACGTCCCTCCCTCTCTCTCTCTCCTGTCTTTGTATAGCTCGCTCTACCATCCCGTCACCCTCTTCTTCTTTTGTCTCTCTCTCTCTCTCTCTGAAATTCAAATGAAGTTTGTTTTATTGTCTTGACTGTTGCAGCCAGCATGAATATTCAAACCCCTCAGTGTTCAACCCTACAAACACACATGGAACAATCCAACTAAATCAATTATTTAATTATTTTAAATAAACTGTAGGATGTAAACTGTTTGATTTAGGAAAATGTAGTTTTTTGCTTCCATCTAGCTTTTTGGATTGACACTTCTGTACACTGAATGTATGAGGGACAAAAAATGACTAAAGTATAAATAAATGAATAAATAAATAAATGTTGGGAGAAATGCATACAATAATGTATAAATAAATAAATAAATGCATCAATAAATATATAAATAAATATGCAACAATTCATATAAAAATTAATACATAAATAAATATATTCATATATTTATTTATGTATTTCTGTGTCCATGTTGTAAGGAAAAGTAAATATGTAAATTAAGTTGGCCGTCCTAACAGATTGGTCAATTTTGAAAAACAGAGAGAAGCAAATTTAAATAAATACTTTTCCTCTTACGACCTGGACACAGAAATAAATAGATGTGTAAATGTAAAAATACGGAAATCAATTAATAACTCAATTAATGTGGACATGTATGCATTGATACATATATAACTGATAATACGCTAATAAATGAATAAATACATGTACAAATATATAAATAGCCTTTTTCATTAACAAAGTGTATTTATTATTAATTCACTGATGTATTGTTTTCAGCATTTATATATTTATTGATGCATTTATTTATTTATTTATACATTATTGTATGCATTTCTCCCAACATTTATTTATTTATACTTTAGTCATTTTTTGTCCCTCATGAATACTGAGCATTAGCTTGGAGGCAAGCCGCAATTTACTCCAAGCCGAGGATTATCCCGACATAAAAACTCCATATTGTCTCATTTTAACTGTTTTTTCTCGATAAAAACGAGACATACAAGTTGAAATGTGGAACTGCTGTGAGTCATTACCTTAGACAGAACCAGTGAAAACATTAGCATAGGCTACACTAAGGAAACTGCCTAACTGTTAGCTTGCGCCTAGACAAAATAGTTTGGCTCAATACTATGTACTTTTTGTTGATATGAACAGAATATTAAAGTGTTAATTGAGTTTTGGTGTTGCATGCTGTTGTGTAGTCTACATTTGTCTGCCAGAGCAATGTAAACTTAGCTTAGCATCAAAACTGACACCAGAAGAAAACTGTTAGCTTGAACTCAAGACCGAGTCAAAGCATTACACCTGAATAAACACACCTTTACACTTGTTATTGTCATAATCTAAAACGTTTTTAATTGAGTTTGAGAGGTACATTTTGATAAAGGTACACAATCAGGCAATTTTTGCTTAGTAGGCTATAACCGAGCAAAGGAAACAACTGTTAGCATGTTAGCAAGGAACTAAACTATAAATAATGGATTATTAATTACTATAATGGCTTGAGTAATAAATAATTCTTGGCCATAAGTGAGGTAAATATTTGATGAGGCCATGGTGTGCACGGCTCATTTTATCGGTTATGTTGCTATTGTCTGTTTAGCTGTACATGAAATCCGTATTATGATAATAACGATCAACAAAGACTCCAGCGATGATCCGATGTCAGACGGGATAATTCGAGTGAAACAACATTTTATTTATTTGGGAACTGATCAAAGCAAATTCAATATGGTTTACATTTAAGCAATCAATCCACTTTGTTTGTCAAACATTAAAACTAAGCTTGAATCGATAGAGTATTAGCTTAGCTTAGCATCAAAACTGGCAACACAACAAAAACAACCACTTTTAGAGATTAAACAAACATGATGTGTTGTAGCCCGACCGATTAATTGGCCGATCGGTGTCCGCTAATTTTATCGCAGATATGCGCCGTTACTACTAGATTAATTCACCAGCAGAGGGCGCTATTGGATTACAACAAGCGTTATCACTCTCCAGGGTGTAAAGCGATGAGGCACAGACATGCGCAGTTACTTTCCAGGTGAGTGACCATCTTGTCTTAAATGTGTCTATAGCCATCTCTGCAGATCGAAGATAGACCTAAGAAAGATATCAACCGATATATCGGTATATGATTTATTTTCCTCCCAAATATTTAGATCCATATTGGCCCATAAAATCCCATATCAGTCGGGCCCTAATGTGTTATTCGGTGCTTGTATTTTTGAACAGAGCCAGGAGAATTGTTGCCCCCTGTGTGAAGTTTTTGTGCTAAGTTAAGCTAAGCTAAGCTCAGCTCTTCTGGCTGTCGCTGTATCGACATACTGTACATGTATCAGTGATATTTGTCTTCCTGTTGTTTAACACTTGAATAGTAAATAAGTATATTTCCTTTAAATAAATTCAGTTGTGTCTTCTTGATTGTTTGGCATGTATTTTTAGAATATATAACCAAACAAACTTCTACCATATTATTCACCCTGCATCCTTCTTTTGTGGAAGTCAGGACTCTTTGAGGAGAAACACGAATGAAAAGGCCCCACCCTCCCTCAGTTTGTCTGAGAGTGACAGCTGGGACCCGAGGCAGCCAGACGGCCCCGCCCTTTAATGTCAGCCAAATCTGTGAAGCACTCATACAGATACTGTATGTGGACAAGCCATTATGTTTCTTTACACGTGGTGGTTCTTGGAGTTTATTAACGGTCTTGTGAATGTACATTTTCTTCATGTGTGACTTAAGACAAAGAGTGCTGGTTTGTTCAATTCAAGAGAAACAGTACACAATTTAAACCCACTTCCTAAACACACCAATCATCAGCTTGTTCATCAAAAAGACACAAAGAAATCGGGGTTTAACTTTTCTACTCAAAGACACGTTTATCAGACAAGTACTGGGACTGATGCTTTGTGTAACATGAGCGCCCTCTGCTGGGGCCCGTGCAGACTTGACCGGTGCAGCCCGTGTGTCGTTGCCAGTCTGCACCATGCTGTCCCCGTGCTAAGTTTATGTGTAGGCCTAATAAGCTTGGCTAAAATATTTGTAAATAAGATACCCTTTTCTTTAAGAGTCATATTTTTCCATTTAACATGTTTGTGAGAATCTCCGAAATTATTATAAAAAACTTTTCCGTGACTGTAATACTCTGTTATTGAGTAATTTAGGCTCACCACGTTATGCTTTGCTAGCTTAAATTGTAACTTCTGATCTTCGTGGTGTAGCTTGGTTAACAGTTAGCTCAATTATTGGTTTCTATGTTTTAGCAGTGTTGGAGTTTATTACTACATGAGTGGCTGTGAGAGATCGTATGTGCTCCTGTTGTTTAAAAGATTAAACAGCATGCTGGTGCTAAAAGTGAAAGTTTATTTCTGATTCATCACATAATACAAAGAGAGTACACAAATGCAGTTAAAAAAAGTAATTGAAATGATGCTGTCAAAAACCTTGACAAATATGAATACATCATTAACATACACAACACAAACATTAAGATTTAAGGGCTTTTCACTAAACACCAAATGTTATACAATGTTAAAAAAACAAGCTGCATGAAAATCTTAATCATGCATTTTAAATGAAATTTGAGTTTAATTTAATTTGTTAGGGATCATGTACACCATATATTAATCTCAATTATGAGAGCTGGATTCTGTCTGGGCAGGTTTACACCAAAACAATACCAAACACAATTAAACACATCAAAATACGTATGATGAAAAGCTAATAAAACCAGATAACATTATAGCCTAATAATCTAAAACCTACCACCCTCCCCAAGTCTACCTCCACACCCACACAGAGCATACTACCCCCACCCACCCACCCACCCACACACAAGAGAATGGTCTTGTATGTACGATAAGAAATCATGACCATGAGAAATGGATACCATAAACAAGTAAAAAAAAGACTATAGACTTAAAACTCAGTCCCATTTCTAATCTCAACTTATTCCCCCTTGTGTTCAAGTGCCTTTTTGCCCCTCAGAAAAGAGGTACAAGGGGTAGCGGTGAAACCTCCCACTACAAAATGGGACGACCCTTCAAGACGCTGAAACGTCATCAGTAGTCGTCGATGGTAGTTACTGAAACAGACGGGACATCGTTACCTGATAGGCGTAACACTGGGTTTGGAGTGTGCCTGTAGAATCTCTGTTCAAAGGGCCGTGTAGCCCCAACACTTCCTCCTACCCCTCCATTCCTACAAGAATCAGGACAACCTTCCCCCCTAGACATAGTCGTAGGGAGAAGAGGTATACTGGGACTGAGAGTCTACAGACATGCTAATCACTCTTTAAGGCTGTACTTAAACTAATGTTAGCATGCTGATATTCTCCCAATGCTAACGTTAAACAGTTAAGTTATGGTTATGTCCACCTTCTACATTAGGTGGAATAGCAGGCTAACATTTTCTAATATGCACTTAACACTGAGTAAAGATGATATTGATGGAAATGTTGGTGTTGCAAAAATGTTCAGATAATATATGTGATATATAAAAGTTTCAACAAACAGACCCCAAACCTAAAACAATGAATACTGCAAACAATTATAACATAATTCATAACCAGCTGATACTGATACCAACAGGTTATACTGGTATGAACTTTGAACACACTCTGCTTTTTATAGTCTACATATCATGGGTCATTTAACATTTTCTGTAAAGATGACAATGGTTGGTTTGTAGTATGTTATAACCCTGACAAAATGTTAAAATAGATTATATCATGCATTTTTTATATGCCACCACTTAGGTTACACTATAGTGGGGTTCTGACATAAAAACAAATATATATTTTGATGTTATATAGCTGCATACTCGAGTCCCACTGATTGGTTAATGCATTCTATATTCTGTATTGATGTAAAAAAAGGAGGATGAAATGATTCAAGTAAAAAGTAGCAAGGATTTTT